TCCTTTCCATCTTTATCTCCGTCTCGACCTCCACCTCCACCTAGACCATCACCCAGACCTACACCTCGACCTCGTAGTCCTTTCGAACGAACAATCCACGACTTATGTTTTCGTACAGCTATGCTGTCGTTCAGCAGCAAGAAGAAAACAGCCGTTCGACCGAGATTGTCTTGCGACGCTTTGCAACGTGGCGCTATATGCTGGCAGGTGATACTAGAGGATAGCAATCAGAATACGGATTGTTATCTCGGAATCAGCATAGATACGATTGTCCTGATCGAGGAACACTCCAGACAGATCGTGTTCGTCGCTCCGTGCGTAAGCGTACTCGGATGGCACGCTCAAACCAACAGGTTTTTACTTTTCTTCCCACTCCAACGATCCATCGTACGAAACGTATACGCGACATTCTACACCCGTTCTAATTCTCCTTCGCCGTTTTACAGCTTGAGGCTGTACTATCATCAAGGAGAATGCATTACGATCCACGTGCGCGGCGATTACGGGGAAAGGGACGAATTGATGGAAATCGTGGCTCGTCTACGTGCCGTAACTCCAGGTGCTCCAGCCACCGAACTTTCCTTGAAGAGAAATAGCCTGGGACAATTGGGTTTTCACGTACAGCCGGACGGAGTGGTAACGCAAGTGGAAAGCATGGGACTTTCTTGGCAAGCGGGACTCAGACAAGGATCCCGACTCGTCGAGATTTGCAAAGTGGCCGTGTCCACTTTGAGTCACGATCAGATGGTCGACTTGTTGAAAACCAGCGCTCAGGTCACCGTCACCGTCATACCGCCGAGCAACGACGGTATTCCCAGAAGGTATCTCGGCCGGTTCTTCTCCATTTTCCTTCTACCATTTTTCGATCCGATCGTCGTTTTACCCATTCCGATTCCTCGTCGTTCAATCTATCTCTTTCGTAACGAAACAGAGGCTGCACGCTACAGAATTGCCAGTATTTGTCGAGCAACTACGAAGGCGATTACGAGAACGTAACGAGCCCCGACAACACGCCGACTCAACAGACAGCCATGTCTCATCAGAGGCGATACGAGCGATCCTTTAGTCCACCGCGATCGAGCAACAGTTCCGGCTACGGAACGGGATCTAGTTCTAGGTCGTTCAACAACGATCCACGCTTTCCCATGGAGGGCACGATGACCAGCAGTAGTAGCGGGCATAGCAGCAACGACGATCGTTGGTGAGGATGACAACGTTCCAACCTCGCGAACCTCCATTACCTCCAACTATTTCTAAAGCTCTGCTCTTTTTCCCACTCTTTAGGTACGAACTTTTGGAACCGCAAGACCAAGAGAACACCGGGTATCGTACCAATGGTGGCACTCCTCCACCACCGCTTCCAGCCAGGCAATCGTTCCAGATGATCGCTCAGAAATCTTCTTCGCAGAAGAAAGACAAAGAATCCCATTATGCGAGCAGCAAACAGTTTTCGGACAATTCCAAGCATCACGGTCACGATCATTACGCAGCCAAGGATGGCAATTACGCGACGTCGAAAACCATGCAAGACAACGCTAGGCACGAGAGTTATCAGAGGCAACTGGACAACGCTCACCGTGCCCAGGATCACGTTTCCTCCAATTACGTGAAGCTTCAGAAGGAAAAGTACGAGATCAAGCAAGAAAATATATATGCGTCTCAGAGGGAGCTTCAGAAGAACGATATACATTACGTCAATCACCAAAAGTTGAGCGCGTCCAACTCTTTGCCTTTGGCGCAAAACGCCTCTTACAGCCTTCCAAAGTCCGGCAGCAATAACAATCTCGGTAGATGCAACGAATACGAGCATGACGGTAAGTCGGAGAGAAATTCAAAGTACGACGCGCAGGAGGAAAAGGTGTCGGATCGAACGCCGTGCAAGTACGTCGAGCAAGACGCGGTAAGAGGCCACGATAAGAGAACGGCGACCATCAACTACGAGTATCCCGAGGATATGTACGAGAGGCGAAGCAGCAAGTACGACATGGATATCGCCAAGTACGAGATCGAGTGTCAACACAACAGCGGAGCCGGTGTCAACGAAAGAAAACACGCTGGCGGAGATAGCGTGGAGCAAAATCGGGAATCGATCAGATACGAGCTACCGCACGAATTCAAAGTCGGGGAGAAGGTTACCTGTTTGAAAACTACTATTACCGAGAGACCCGTGCCTCACAAGATAAACGTGGAGTATCGTCAGACCAAGGACTTTACCGCGAGCCTTCCACCGGAAATGCGAATTACCGATGTCAACTGTCCGGATATGGCCACTCTACCGAGCGAGGATGAATTATCGAACGGATCTGGTAGCGTGTCACCTCGACTGAGAAGAACGAACAAACATCGGGGCGGAAATCTAACGCCTTCGAGTGGCGGCTCGAGAAATCAGAGTCCCAGGCCGAAAGCGGGTATGAGAAATTCTCACAGGAATTCGGCGAATTTAACTTCGAGCACGCTTCAAGAGGATCTCATGAAGCTGATCAATCCCGACTATATCGTCGACGACGAGCAGATAACCAATAACAACGTGACCGGAAACGTGCTGATCGCCAATCAAAATTCCAACAAGATGAACAACAACATGCTCGAGATTCAGAACAGGTGTAGATCGAGAGAGAATCTATGCGGTAACAGCGGTAACAACGCGCTGACCGTACTACCGACCAACGGACAAGAAAACGGAAATAGCGGATCCGAGGTTATTCTGACGATGGCTAGGCCAGCTACCGTCATTTCGAACGCGAGCACAGCGTCCAGTCCTGCGCCGAGCGAAAACAAGTTATCCAAGGAAGAGAGGTAATTCTTCATTACTGCTTTCTCGCCGATTGTTTCTTTTTTCTTTTTTCTTTTTTTTCTTTTTTTTCTTTTTTTTCTTTTTTTTTTTTCTTTCGCATACTTCATTTATTCTCTGTTTCAGAAATTCCGTGTCGGATTTGCAGACCCATTTGTCCTCTCTCGAACTGAGAGTAGCCAGAGAGACGCGTCGAAGGCTTTCTCTGGAAGACGAGGTACGTCGTTTGCGAGACGAAAACCGACGCCTACAGGATGAAAGTCACGCGGCTGCTCAACAGCTTCGACGTTTCACGGAATGGTTCTTTCAAACGATAGATTACCAGTGAATTTGTCGAAATTATACGACTCGACGATCATCGATTCCAAGACAATCGTTCCAATTATACGTATCTTTCTTCTTCTTTCCTCGTCGTTCTCTTTAAGAACGTGTTAAAATCACGTTCATCATTTTGTAAGAGCAGTATTAGTTTCGCGTTTTCTCGGATGTCGAATGTGCGTATCTTTAGCGATTAAGGCGCGAATCAGAGGCAATCGAAGGCGATTGTACGCGGTCACTCTTCTTTTTCTTTTATCGTTCACGATATTGCGAGCATCCTTCTCGGTATTTTGTACAATAGATTCTACTTTAAATAGTTGTAACGGTACAGTGTAAGTTACCATCGTGTTGCGCTCCATCGAATTCACTGCATCGATCAAACGTCTAAGAGCTAGCGCATAGACCTATCTATTAGGTTCTTCGGTATTACCGCATTGACTCGGTGAAACGTTGCTTCGTTCGCGATGCACGTTGATCACGATTACGTCTTACTTCGAAACGACCAAATATTGCTAGTTGTTTAAGAGTCATTATAACTCATTCGTAATTTATTACGTACTCTTTTGTATCACCGTGAAAAGCATCGTTAAGCGAGACATTAAGGGATCGTTTTTGCGCGTGTCTGCAAATTTAAACATTCCGCGTTCACGCAACGCGATGCCGATCGTTTATGTCGAGCGGAATCGTTCGGGCGAGGCTCGCGCGTTTCTTCCTCGTGCAAGCCGTTTTCTTCGCAGAACTATGCAAAGACAGACAGCCGTAGACGAATGATAATTTGTAAAGCGATGAAATTAATCGATAATAAACAAAAATGTACATCTCTTTGAGAGGGAGTGGTTTATTTTTTTATGCGAGGACGCTCGTGCGAGAAATGGAAATCGGTTGGTCGGGAAATCTCGAGGAAAGAATGGCAATGAGACGTTACAGTAACACCGCGACACGTAGAATAAAATAGTTTATTGTAATTCACAGAAAAAAAAAAAACAAGACATTTCCATGATGCCTGAAAACTCACTGTTCCGTATCGGTTAACAATAGCTGTGATTACACTCTTT